TTGATGTTGTTACTATCTCTCCGGATTCTCTCATGGACAATACCAGGGAAAATTCGGTGCTCAGGTGGACTTCCCGGAGAAGCTGCCGCTTGCCCTGTGGGATGGGTATCTTCAATTGAGTTGCCAGACTCGTCGGCTCTGGTGGCATCTGAGGAGTAAAGGTTTCGAAGAGCCTCTGCTTCGCTGGTGTTGGATCGAAGTTGAGGTAAGGCCGAGCTAATGGGAGGCTGTGCTGCATGTTCATAATCAGCAATCAGCCGAAACAGACACTAAGACCTTACACTGAACAAGCACCCGAAGGACACACGAAGGACACAGGACAACCATAGAAACACGGTGAAAATGGCGATAATAACAGTGAGAATGAGACGATAAAGACTCCAACATCATCGGGTAAGAGACTCTAAAGGCAAGTTTGCAGATCTGCAAACGTTGAACTTACAATGGCCTGGGTGTCCTTGCTCTGGATCCAGAGGAACCCGTGACAGTGCTTCTGGCTGACTGCTTGTGGCGGGGGCGATTGGTCGCCTAGCTGAACAGTCAATATGACGATCAGAATATCGTTCAATCCTAATACGTCAGCAGTCTTATTTTAGCCCCAAGATGTCTATCTGTATGGTGAACTGCAAGCACGAGAATAACTTACAAGGCAAGCTCCCCAAGTAATGTTTCATGCCTAAATTGCTCCCGAATGTCTGGCACATTGCTTTTTGCGACATTATTTCCTGCGACCCCGCGAAGAGAACAGTTTGCACCAAGCCATCTCTTCTTCAATGATAGTTCAAAGCCACTTTGCTCGACTGAATGTTTTGCGAGCTCACACATGTCCACAGCGTTGAATTTGTATATCTGCGCAGCAACCGAATATTCTTCAATCAATGGCTCCTTGGTAAATGCAAATTGTAGAGGATCGTCCGTTGACAAGGATACATTCAGGCCGCGCCTGAAAAAGTTCGCAAACGGGTTCTTGTCATATGTCAGGAACAGCGCGTTGTTACTGAGCGGGGACATTGCGATTCCAATCTGATCGAGGTAAAACAAATACTGCAGTAGAGGGACCTTTCTAAGCAGTATCCCATGACTGATGCTGTGGCAGCAGAGAAAGCCAACTGCAAGATGATCTGGATCCCCAGCCTCACCGCAATGAGGTCTTAAAACAAAGGTGTTAAAGCCGCGTTGCTTTCTCCAGAAATTCAATGACGCGATATTAGCGAACATGAAGTAAATCCAATAGCTGTACGGAGGATTTTGTTTTGTATTCCATTCTCTAGGAATGGGATATTTTCTATACAGCCGGCGCTCAGCTTTGCTTTCGTCATCCACGCTGTCGAATCCGACCACACGCTGGAGGAAGATATGAAGCTTGGGATGGCTGCTGGGATTTTTGGTCACCTCAAATAGGGGCTGGAAAACGTTTGTGATGACTTGCTCGAAGTTCTCCATCATGCCGCTTGCTTTGTAGACGTCGTAAAGCCGAGGAACTTGTATTAGCCAACGCACATTGGGGGAAAACAATTTGTTGTCAACGACCCAAGCAGCGAGTTTGTCCCATTCTTGAATCGACCTTCCGTATATTGAGATGCGCCACTCCACCATTTGATATTTGCTGGACTCTAAATCTGAGATGACCTCTTTTGTGATCTCGGCCAGATAGCGGCCTTTAATATAATTGTCCGTCTTCAAGAAGATCTCACGCAGCCTAGACTCCCCGACGGGATTATATTTGAGATTGAACTTGTCAAAGCGATGGAAGGAATCCGTATGCGCCTGCAAAATTGATGAGAAGAGTTATAGAGGAAAGACTTGTGGGAATGATACATACATGCATATCCAGCGTATCAATGCTCAAGTCATAAGCTGTTAGGTTTATGCTTTCAAAAACCTCTCGTAACGTTAAATGTTTACCATCCCGGAATAATACAACCTCATCAGGTGACTTCTTCATTTTGCTTTTGATGAACCTGAGGAGATGCTTCTGATTCATGCAAGCCGAGTGATGTACATGAGTGTCGACTTTCCGGACGTTGTAGAAGTCTCTATGTGGTACTTTTTTGCTGTCAGCAATCTCCTGATATTCATTGAGCAGCGTGTAGAGTTGGAATTTGCCCTCCAGGTAAGAAAGGCGTTTAAACGCAAAGCTCTTGGCCGGTCCGTCTGTGGACACATCTATGACTGCATCGAGGTCCATATAAAAATCACGCAATGAAGGTATTCTGATGGTAGGCCTGTGCACATTTGCAGCCTCGATATTTTCGTACACTTGGTAGACACTATTTTCATCCAGTGTGAAAGTCCAACTTGACTCTCCCGGCAGCGGAATGAAGTCAGCCATGTCGAAGTCCTCACCAATATCCTGGCCCATCTTTCTTTTTTTCGGCCCGGCACCAGGAGAGGATTCTTGTTTCCCATTCTCTCTATCAGCATCCCAGGCCGGTTCTGGCGGGGGAGGGTAAATCCTCCAATCGGGACGATCTTTGGGATTATCCTCAGGACCCTGTGATGACAGTTGGATATATTCGGCGCGTCGCTCAAGTAGCCCGCGAATCTTGCGGTAGATGATGTTTAATTCCGAGGCAACCGTGCCGCTGCCCGTCATATTCATAGCACTTTTGATAGCACCTGGAACCTCAGTGGCGAATTGCATGTAAGGGGATCCTTGTTCATTTGAAATCTCATGATGCATTGCATCATCTCGGAGTGGAAGCTGACCGGTACTGGTGCTGGTATTTTCGGCGTATCCCGAAGCAGGCGTGCTAAACTGCGTGGAATTACTCGAGCCCAGTATGCCTGTCTGAGGCCTTCCGTCCGTCTCTTCTTTAGCTGATGGTATGTCAGAGGCAGAAGGCCTGCCCGTAAGGCCGGAACACTGATCAGACTCACTGTCGGCGCCACGCGACACTAATTGATGATGCTGGTAGAAGAGTTTTGCTTCTGTGTGACTCATCGACTTCTCGTAAGCATAATCATATGTTGGTGTTTTCATCTCTCTATCCCTTGGGAGTACATTGTCAAGACTATCTGTCACAGTTGCAGATAAAGAGCTGTCAACATCTGCCTGTTGTGTGTTTTCTTCATCGCGGTCATGTTTTAAGTCGACAGTTGAGCTTTCAGGGCTACCTTGTAGGTCATGCGCATTATCCATTCCGAGCATGCGGGTGTCAGGAAAGATTTGAATGAAAACAGGGATAACGTGTCAGCGATTGTACCTTGCGGTCTGGAATTCTTCCAAAATCTTCTCAGAAAAACTCGTGTACTGCAGATTAGTATAGAGCCAGCAGTAGGGTCACATGGAAGTCTCACCGCGTACTACTGGGGTACTAGTGGGATATTAAAATTGCTTCCACTGAAGATAAGGAAATTAGATCTACCCCTCTATCGAGAGGCTAAAGTAGGTTGTTGTAATCTGTACCTTACTTGGATACACTTTTAGGTAGTGCCCTAGCTTATCAGTTTTCTGCCATCTACATTATATAAACAATACAGAGCAAATGGTACCAGCCAAACGCGGCTAGTATTTGCAAGATATGAACAATGTTAAAAAGTCCGAACCAAATTCGAACTAAATGATCGACAAGTCTCTAATAATACCAGCAATACATATATCCTCAGAAACAGGCCGTATCAGGCTCCAGGAGGCCAGGAGGGCAGCATGACTCTCAGTAGTTGTACATGCACCTGGCCAATTGTCCTAGTCACCAATAGTCTAAGCAAAGGATCGCCTTCATTATCTTTGTCATGGTGAAACATGAAAGCTGTATGCTCTTCCTTATTTTGACCCCATCTGATTGTTTAATGAAGAAGCCAATGTACTATACCTTCATTTCTCTCTAAGAAGATCAGTGCTTGAGCCTGCGTGGCTTTGTGGGACCAGAATTAAGTCTGATTAGGGGGAAAGGGGGGGGAAATAAAAAATAAAATAAGAGCTCCAAGACTGTATGAGCAGCGTTGTGTTGTTACTATACATGTTATATGTGTTATTGCAGGCCTATAGATCATGTACTTGGTGAAATAGTACCTAATTATCCTGCTTCAGTCATACCTTTATCTATATATATTTTATACAGATCACCTATATAGCATCTTTGCCCATATCATCTACTGTATTTATATATTAAATAATATCTACATTATCTACCTGATGGAATATATGAGTGGGATTTGGATAACGTAATGTACCCTAGGGCAGCTAAGGGAAAGCATTATTAAGGCCACATCAGCCAGGTTACCTTACCTCTCATAGTCGTATTAAAATATTACAACCCAGGTTGGGTCGTACAGAGTCATATCTTGTTCCTGCAAGGGATTTATTTACCTAAATCTCAGGTATAATAACTAGCTTTTAATTCACTATGCATCTGATAATGATTATAAACCCCATTGCTTATTTTAATAGATCCATCATTATAGATTAGTGAATACAGCAAAGTGCTGGCATACCTGCAGAACTGGCCATATTAATGGTATAAGAGCTCCTTCTATTACAATAATCACCACTTGGCGCCCCTCCATGATGTAATCAACATACTGCAGTACTAAGGCAACTTTAGTAGGTATCTCCCTAGAAGCTCCCTACTATATACTGTGGTACAAGTTAGTAAGGCAGCCATTTATCTAGACTAGCTTACAGAGTAGGTAGGTCTCTGTATGGACTCTATGATTTTTTTATTCCCGTCGTATGGGGGTATCAACTATTATGGAGTCGCTAGTACTAACTATGTACCCAATAATATTAGTACCCAAATGTAGGTACTTTGTTGATTTACCTTTACCCAAGGAAGTAAGATTATGAACCTAATGTTGGAACACACCTGGCCTCCTTATCCCGGCTGACTGACCTACCTAATCTTAGTTACCTGCATCACACTTATTCACTCTCCATGAAATCTGTTCCGCACCTTGCAATACTAGTTGACTAAAATAACTGTAGTTAGCAACCATCATTGCATCACTTATTTGATCCCCAGATCCTCACCACTACCCATCAACTAGTTCTCAGCGATATGGCATCTCTGAATCTCTCATCGAACGGGCCATCAATCACCAAGAGTTATCAGTCCGTAATCGATTGTTCGCTACCTACCGGCAGCGCTACATATGGACAATGGGCGGTATTCTCTGTCTCAACGCCTTTGGTCAATGCCTTCCAGAGGAATTCAGATAGCAAGGAAAGTGTCTTGAAGGTCCAGAATACCGGGGGTTAGTCACCTATTACTCGAGGCTCAACTCGAATGCTGATACCTAATCTCGCAGCTGGTGAGCTTGAGGATCTCATTGACGAGTTCTCGGAAGGAAAGATCCAGTTCGCTTTCGTCAAAGTCACTGATCCGAACACTGGTCTCCCGAAGAATGTCCTCATCGGATGGTGTGGGGAGGGTGTCCCAGAACGAACGAAAGGATACTTTACAAGCCACCTGTCTGCTGTATCAAAGTTTTTATCCGTCGGTGTCCCCTTGTACAGGTTAGATGAACATAATTTCTGATATTAGGTTACTCCAGAACTATCATGTCCAAATCACTGCACGCTCCGAGGGAGATTTGACACCCGAGGGAATAATACAGAAGGTCGGAGATGCTTCTGGTGCGAAATACACACCAGAACGAGCTTCGCCAGTCACTGCTGTGCCCAAAACGCCTTCAGTTGCAAGCAAACCAGCATTTACCCCCACCAGAACTGGTGCGGTAGACTCGAAGACCGTGTCAAATGTTTCCGCTAGGGTGCTTCCAAGAATGAGCGGCGACGATAATGGCTGGGGTCCAGATGCGCCCCCGGTTACCAGGACAGAACTTGAAAAGGTTCAGTCCGCGTACAAGCCAACTAAGGTTGACATAGAGGCAATCAAATCTCAGAACCAGCCCAGAACATCCCATTATCATGAGCTTCCCGGCACAGAGAACAATGATGTTGTTAAGGGTGGCTATCAGCCGATAGGCAAAGTGGATATCGCTGCAATCAGGAAACAAGCACGGGAAGCAGGAGGATTTAAAGAAGACCGACCCGAGCCTGTGAAAGGCGCATATGAGCCGGTTGGTAAGGTCGATATTGCTGCTATCCGTTCTAAGGCGCAGAAGCAACCTGAATCATCAGTTGACCAGTCCGTCTCAAGCAACCCTGTTGAATCGCGTAATGAAAGGATCAAATCTTTGGATTCTCCAAGACTAGCCGATCAGCCTGAGCGTCTGACGACTTTACCTAAGCCGAAGGTTGCGAACAAAATCGGGCTAAGCTCAACTTTTACAGGCACAAAGGCACCCTTGCCCAGTGGCTTCGTTTCAAGCCCGGTCCCTGCTGCCACACAGGTTGGCATTGCAAGCAGAACGTTTGCAGACGAAGGAGGAAAGACTCCTGCGCAGCAGTGGGCTGAAAGAAAAGCCCGAGAACGAGGGCAAGGTCCTGCCCCTAGCCCATCAGCAGCAAGCGGTCAGGGCAGCATCAACGGAGAATGGAAAAGTTCGTACAATGGCAAGACATGGGCTCCCGTTCAGACTACGCCTACGGGCAACTCTGTGGACCGTGGTGTCTCCCAGCAAGGGCAGGGGTTGACGACTGGGCTGGAAACGTCACTGCCTGGCCAGCCAGACTCTGCCAGCCAGGATCAGAAATCAAGTGGTGCTGGCATGACTCCCTCTCCCGATGAAGAACCAGTAGGCATACCTGATTCCGAAAAGGGATTACCTGCACCGTATAATTCACATGGGATGAACCCGGAGGAACCTTCGGACGTCGAAGCTCATCGGCCTATACCTAGCCCTCCTCAACAGCCTCGTTCCCCTACCCCTCCAACGCCGCTTCCCGTACGTGAGTCTTCTCCAATTCGCGTTGCTGTGCCAGTTGGACGAGGAGAAGTTGCCGACGCTCACGATGAACAATACTCGCCACCTCCCGTCATGCCGACACAAAGCCTCCGACAGGCGGTACCGGACAATGAAGGGCTCGAGGATACTGCGATTGATATAGGTAGGGAAACGTCAAAAGCTACAGTCGTTGACCGTCCTCAAGACGAGGCGCCCCAGGCTATTGTTCAGTATGATTATGAGAAGGCAGAGGACAATGAAATAGACTTGAAGGAGGGAGAGTATGTGTCTGGTATAGAGATGGTCGATAAGGACTGGTGGCTCGGTTCTAATGCGCGTGGCGAGCGGGGTCTCTTCCCCAGCAACTATGTTGAGCTCGTCAATGAAAACCAGCTAGAACAGCTCGCACCAGTTGCTGGAGCTGAAGAACCCCAGGAAATTTCTCCAATCGTTCCTGCCCACAGCCCTGGGGAAAGGAAAGATATCGCACAGCCGGTTGCAATGGCACTGTATGACTACGAGGCTGCGGAGGACAATGAGCTCAGCTTCCCGGAGGGTGCTCACATAGTCAACATCGTAAGTGGAACATCTTGCAGTCCTTTTTACTTCTTCGTCTTCCCCCCCCCTCTTTCTTGCCATGACTTCCTAGCCAACCAACGTCATCGCTAACTCAACACTAGGAATTCCCGGATGATGATTGGTGGTTCGGCGAGTACAAGGGCCAGAAGGGGCTCTTCCCTGCCAACTACGTACAACTCGAGGAGTAGGTCGTGATTGCTCTTTCTCTTGGCTGGGGCACGTTGGAGTCCCGGTCAGGTGTTGATAAAAGCGGTCCAGCAAGTCTGGCATCCGCGTCTGCTTCAAGACCATTACAAGGAAAACAACTCACAATTACACTTTCGACTCCTGTGTCAGATATTGGAACTCTAACCCTCTGTAAAAGCCTGTACTTTAGTCTTTTGTCCCGGGCCTTATTTCTCTCATTGATGTCTGAACTTCAGCAGAAGTCATTGAATGTGTATCCTTCCCAATCCAGTTCAAGAGATAAAATAGCTTACTACATCATTAAATCAACTAGCTGGTGACAATGGCGTTGTTCAATCAATGTGGCACCTGGCATTTTGACGGAACGGCCAATTCTGTTACTCTATTCTCTGTATGTATGGTTGCTGCATCATGACATGTGCAGGTGAGCCATAAGTTTACACATGAGGCTAGTCCTGAAAAATATATAAATGTCTAGACATCTCTAGACGTCAGTCCTGCCTATGGGGAGTGCAGTTTTTGAAAACAGAGCTAGAAAATCACAGAAAGATCAATGGAATACGTTTGTTTGCGAACTATTAGAGACTTATCCAGTAATTGAAAGACCATATGTAGATATATACCTATAAAGGAGTATTGGTAGATTTTCAATGAATTGTATAGTCAGAATCACGTGATATACTCTAGCTTTTTCTGTTGGTTCAACTATACAAACCACTGCTTTTGGTATTAAATACTACCTATGTACCTCTGCTCATAGCTATTGTGTGTTCTATATCACACTATCAAAATAGCAAATTCCATTGTTCATCTTCAATTCATCTATCTGTCACTTTCAGAAGACTTCAACACTACTTTCCTTATTAGAACTTTACCCATCCCCCTACCCGGTCATCTTTTAAACGTCCTGCACCAGTCTCTGAAGCACTAAGTGCTACCTGGGCTCGATTCTCAGGGCAACATGGCATCCCTTAGTGAAGACTTGCTTATAACAGTGAATAAGCTACAAGATCTTGTTTTCAACACAATTGGAAATGACTCGCTCGATCTACCGCAAATTGTGAGTTCCTATGCAAGGCATCACAACTGTGTGCCAACATTACTCCATTACTTCTCTTTTGCTGATTCATCTTCTCGAAATTTTTCTTTCTCTCTAGGTCGTTGTAGGCTCCCAGTCTTCTGGAAAATCTTCTGTCCTGGAAAACATTGTTGGGAGGGATTTCCTACCGAGGGGTAGTGGTATCGTCACAAGACGGCCCTTGATTCTACAGCTCATCAACATCCCCAGTGAGCACAATGATAGGCCCGGTGACAACGATGTTCTTGCACCCCACACAGCTGCTAGTGTAGCTAATCAACACGAATGGGCTGAATTTCATCATCTTCCGGGGCGCAAGTTCGAAGACTTTGCCTTGGTGAAGCAGGAGATTGAGGCCGAAACAGCTCGAATTGCTGGGAATAACAAAGGCATCAATAGACAGCCAATCAATCTCAAGATATTCTCACCTCATGTGCTCAATCTTACCATGGTCGATTTACCAGGGTTGACTAAGGTGCCTATCGGAGACCAACCATCCGACATTGAGAAGCAGACCCGAACGTTGATTCTTGAATACATAGCCAAGCCGAATAGCATTATACTCGCAGTCTCTCCGGCAAATGTCGACCTTGTGAACTCCGAAGCGCTAAAGCTTGCAAGACAAGTAGATCCAATGGGCCGGAGAACAATTGGTGTCTTGACGAAATTGGATTTAATGGATCATGGAACCAATGCCATGGACATTCTTTCTGGTCGTGTTTACCCGTTGAAACTTGGTTTCATCGGCGTCGTCAATCGATCTCAGCAAGATATACAGTCAGGGAAGTCGCTATCCGAGGCCTTGCAGGCTGAACTTGAGTTCTTCAGGCACCACCCTGCTTATCGAAACATGGCGAATAGATGCGGAACTCAGTTTCTTGCAAAAACGTTGAACACGACGCTGATGGCTCATATACGAGATCGTTTGCCAGATATCAAAGCCCGCCTCAACACGCTCATGGGCCAAACGCAACAAGAGCTTGCCAGCTATGGCAACAAACAATTCAGTGGGGAAGAACATCGTGGATCGTTGATACTGCAGCTGATGACACGTTTTGCCTCCTCCTTTATCTCTTCGATCGACGGTACCTCCTCTGAAATTTCAACTAAGGAGCTGTGCGGAGGTGCCAGGATATACTATATATTCAACTCTGTGTTCGGCAACTCGCTTGAAACCATTGATCCCACACATAATTTGACAGTGTCCGATATACGAACGGCGATCAGAAACTCGACCGGCCCTCGACCAAGTCTTTTTGTTCCAGAACTTGCCTTTGACCTGCTTGTGAAGCCTCAGATTAAAATGCTCGAAGCTCCGAGTCAGCGTTGTGTTGAACTCGTCTACGAAGAGCTCATCAAAATTTGTCATACCTGTGGCTCCCAAGAACTCTTGCGCTTCCCTCGACTGCAAGCAAAACTTATTGAAGTAGTGTCCGATCTTCTTCGCGAGCGTTTGGGACCATGCTCTGCTTACGTTGAATCTCTAATCTCCATTCAAAGGGCGTACATCAACACGAATCACCCAAACTTTCTTGGAGCAGCAGCAGCAATGTCGTCTGTCATACAGAATAAACAGGAACAGGAAAGAAAGATGATGTTAGCAGACGATAGAAAAAAGCGAGAGAGAAGACGTCAAAAAGAGCTGGGCAGTGTCAATGGCGCCGTCCCAATCTCTCCTGAAGAGGAAGAGGACCACTCCGCTGAGTTGAGAACACAAAACCTCAGTAGTCGTGGTCAAATTTCGAAGAATTCCAGGAGCATGTCCCCTCACGTTAACAAGGGTCAAGATAGTGCCATTACCGCGACCCTGAACGGTGTCAACACTAACCCAAATGCCATGTTTGGTGCTACGAATACTACACGCGACTCGTTCTTGAATTACTTTTTTGGCAAGGACGGGATGCAGAGCTCGACACCGCTGCCTCAGCCCTTGATTCAACAAAGACAACCCAACCATCTCAGCGAGCCCAGCATTAGCCAGAGCATTAGACGACCGGATATACGCTCGCCAATGTCGTTACCCGATGACTGTGCAGGATCTTCTGATTACGGTGGGGAGATGTCTCAGCATGTATGTCGAATATCCATTCTTTTAATTCATTTGAAACGAGAGCTTACTTGACTTATGGCAGGCGGACCATGCTGAGCTGACTCTCTCTGACCGCGAGCTCATGGAAACAGAGCTGATTCGTCGACTGATTTCCTCGTATTTCAATATTGTTCGGGAAACCATCGCCGACCAAGTCCCGAAAGCTATTATGCACCTTCTTGTCAACCATAGTAAAGATGTTGTGCAAAATAGGCTTGTGAGCGAGCTTTATAAAGAGGATCTGTTCTCAGAGCTCCTTTATGAAGATGATGGCATCAAGGCGGAGAGAGAAAAGTGTGAAAGGCTGTTAGAAACGTACAAAGAAGCAGCGAGAATTGTAGGTGAAGTGCTGTGACCTCCATGATGCAAAGCTTTGTTAGAGAGCCATCAACCCACAAAACCTGTTTCAGATGTTCCCCAGCGGATCAGTGATGGATGTCATTGATGCTGTACCATGCAATTGTACATATAGTGTTTGTTCTCCGTCTTTCAATTGAGTGAATGCCCCTGTGCKGTGCATGCTTGACTATTGGCTATACTTTGTACTAAGACGTTAAAGATGTCTTCTATCAGGCGTGTTCTTTTCAATAACATTCAATTTAAGTCAGCAATTATCCACAAGCTACACTTGTCCGTGGTTATCAACATATATCTATACATCCAGAAAACGCCAAGTCCGTCTGCGAATAGCGGGCATCCCGGTCTAGTATGTTACCTGACCGGCACACCCCGCTCTAAGCTATCAGTCTTAATCCTTCTTATTACTCGGTTTTCTTAGCCGGGCACCCTCCAAACCATAGAGACCACCCCCTGCGAAGACACAGATAGCCCCAATAACGACACCCGGCGAAAGCTGATTTCCAAATAGGTAGATGGATAACAGGAGCGAAACAAGTTTGCGAATGTTCAAAACCACCGTCACAGTCAATGAAGACGTCTGGGCGGAGAGGAGATGAACTCCACGAATGCATAGATATTGGGTCAGCGCATTCACAAAAAGATAAACCACCTGCATGGGAATATGCGTGATGAAAGATGGAAATAATTGGGATCCCAGTATTCCTAAATCCAAACGAGGCCCGCATACGGCAAATGAAGTGGTGGAAGGGCCTGAAAGAAGCTCGGCATCTTTTCCGACACCGATGGATGTCGCCGGAAGCCGGCATCGCAAGGGAGGGGAGGAAAGCATAACGCGCCATTGACCCAGGAGCCGCGGATAGGTGGGGAGGAAAAGTGGTAGCGAGAGTACATGAGAATAGAAAAGCGCTTCCTTCCAGTGGCTTCGGCCATAAGTCTCATAGAGTCGGTCTGCATATATTCCCTGAAAGGCTGAAAGAACCATTGCAGAAGCAAGAATTGCGAAGCCAGTAGTGGTAGCCGTTATACCAAGGTCTGCTCGACCATGCCCAATGTCTAATGGTACGCCTTTAGCTTGAGCATCTGCCAATGCTGCTGTAACAACACCAAGAGTGAGCACAGCTACTGCCAAAATCTGACCATAAGAATACTTCTTTCCATTGAGCAAGTATCCGACGATAAGGGAAGCAACAGGGCCGCCTGATCTCAATATTATGTGTAGGGGAACCGATATGCTATATGCAAAAGCMCAGTTGTTCAAAAGATTGACTGTCACGAAGAAGGCCGTGTATACCAACCATGACCTTAATGGGATGACACGTGGACTGAGGAAAAGTGACCGAGCCCCACATGATAGCGAGACAAAATTTGGTAACGTAAATCCAGCAGTCACAATAAATTGCGCGAAGGTGATCAGGGGACCTTCCAGCGGCGGACAGAGAGGGTCAGACAAGTATCTTAATCGGGGCAATAATAGT